AATATATATATATATATATATATATATATATATATATATATATATATATATATATATATATATATATATATATATATTAAATACTAATTATTTATTTTCATATTCTATTGCATGTTACCGTAATAATTAATTGTTTTACTCTAATTACGATTATCTATGTATATGTATATATAGATTAAACTTTCATTATCCAAAAGACCAATTATTATCAAGTTGTATCATGGTATCGGAGCAAGGGTTTCTCCATCTTCGAAAAAATAGTGTGTGTGTGCTTAACAGCCGCCACTGGTTCAGCAATCGTGCCTAACAACCACCATCCCTTATCCTTCTCTCTCTCCCTCTCCAAAAAATTATGAGTGTGCCTAACACTCGCCGTCCTTAATCCCACTCTTTGTATAACCAAAATCGTGTGTGTGTGATTGATTAACTAGAAAGTTAGTTACATTTGTTTGTGTTGCTTTTAGATACAGTTCAACAGTATAGAAAGCGATAAAGAAGCAGCTAGAGAATGGCTCACAACGAGAAAAAAAATTAAGAAACTTCATGCCCTCGCTCCAATCGCCAACACTCTCCTTAGAAAATTACTTAGCTACTACCTCCGTTTCTCAAAAGAGTTCCTCTTTTGACTTTGGGGGAAAATAAGGAAGTGTTAAATTGTAGTTGACTTTCCAATTTTGCCCTTGATGTGATGGGTAAAAGTAAGATGTGATAGTTTAGTTGTTAGTGAAAAAGTATGATGTGATAGGTAGGATATGAAAAAGTATGGGTAAAAGTGGTTTTTTAATAGAAAGAGGAAGTGTTTTAAGAAAAACAAAAAAAAAATGAAAGATGAAGGATTTTAAGAAACGGAGGGAGTAATATACTATCAAGCTATTTGCAAGTGGTGAACCGGTTAGATTCAAAATGACCCGGTCTTCCACTTGAGGGAGAATGTTAAAGAGTATCCCACATTGGGAAAAATGTGAGGAAAATAATGGGTATATAAGCTCTTGAGTTGAACTAAGTAACCGATTGGATTCAATGTTTTAATATAATTCAACTCAAGTGTCTTCTTGCCTAATCCAATGATCTCTACCCAATCTTAAATTCTATCACTTCTTCGTCATTCAACGAAGATCCACCTCTCTATTCTTAGCGGCTATATCGAAACTGCGTCCCCCGGCTCCATTCCAGTATCTGTGCTCCAACTTGCTTCTCCTTTCTGATGACCAGCTTTTAGAGATATTACAAATATTAGGGATAATATGAGATAGAATACTGTCAAAGTATATCAGTTCTCATTAATCTCTTAATTATCTTTAGATTTTTTGAAATGTTTAAACTTATACTCCCTCCGTCCCTGAAAACCTTTCTCCTTTCTTTGTCCATCACTCTCAAAAAACACTTCTCATTTCTATTAAAAAGTCACTTTTACCCCTCCCCTTACTTTTTCATACCCTACCTATCACATCATACCTTTTACTAATAATTTATCCATCAAATCATACTTTTACCCATCACTTCAAAGGATATTTTCGGAAATTCAATACCAAAATACACTCCCCTTAAATCCCTCTTCAAAATCAAAACTTCCATGTTTTCCGGGACGGAGGGAGTATAACGTAACTTTGCTATATGTTCAAACTCAAAAAAATTCCTTCTTTCACCAGCTAGGTTTTAACCGAAACATCATCTATATTAACTTCCAAGATATAAAGAGGGCATGTTTGGTTTGGTTTTAGTTTATTTATGCTAGGGTTAATTGGAAGCTGCAATTTTAGAATCAGAGTTTGCCTGGCCGGCCTATATATCCCACGTATTGTTGTAGAGATACCTGATTCGATGCTTCCACGATCGACCCTCTTAATACGTTAGAATCTATTGATGTATTTTTATACGTTAACCAACCGTGTGGCCGGGGAAATTAATTAAATACATTTTCATTCTACATTCTACAGTTTGTTTATGGAAACGAATTGGCGGCTTTCTTAACTGCCAATGCATGTTAATCATTTCACACTTTTTATTAGGTGAGATAAGGTTTTTTTTTATTTTTCCAAAAAATTCAATTCATTCATGATATTTTTACATATAAAGATCTATAAAATAAGCGTGAACAAAAATTAAAATATCAAAAAACTTTTTTATTTCCATTTTTTATTAAAAGAAAAAATATCTTCACATTCATTTAAAACCTCCCCTTTAGGCTTTTACCCTTATTACTCATTTACCAAGTATACTCATCACATCGTATTTATTCATTAGTGTATTAATCTATTTATTATATTTTTTCTTACCCTATAATAAAATAATACTCAACAAAATTAGAAAGTAATCACAAAATTACACCTTTAAATCTCATATAGTACTTTTATACACGTACCATGAAGAATATTATCATAAAATATGATAACTAATATTTAAACTATAGTAACCTCTTCGCTGTCTCAGCATATTTGCCCAATTTAACCTTTTCGAGTTAAACAAGATGAACTTTGAACTTTAATTAAATACTCCCTCCGTCCCAGAAAATATGGAAGCTTTGGTTTTGGAGAGTGATTTAAAGGGATTATATTTTAGTATTGAATTTCCAAAAATGTCCTTTGATGTGATGGGTAAAAGTATGATTTGATGGATAGATTATTAGTAAAAAGGTATGATGTGATAGGTAGGGTGTGAAAAAGTAAGGGGTAAAAGTGACTTTTTAATAAAAATGAGAAGTGTTTTTTGGGACAGATGAAAAAAGAAAGGAGAAAGGTTTTCTGGGACGGAGGGAGTTGATTTTTGTAATACTTCCTCCGTCCCACTATATTTGTCCACTTTCATTTTTGCACACCATCCAATACACTTCTTTAATCTATTTTATCTTGTAATTTGTATATTAAAAAATTATAGAAATTATATATTAATAATCTATATGTTAAGACAAATCAAACAAGATCACGCATGACTATATTTAGGCTTACACATTCAGAGAATTTGATGAGTCAAAGTGCTTAGATGAACAGTTCCAAAAGTCAAAAGTGGACGAATATAGCGGGACGCAGGGAGTATTGTTAAATATATCAATTATTTAATATATTTAATATTATATATTATAATTATGGTTGTTACCTATTATAGTCAGATTTATTATTATATAATATTACCTTATATAATTAGTCATTAATGTGGACGATTCTAGAATATATTCCTCCACCTATAAATACATATTTTGTAATCCTCTTCTATTTATTCAATTAATAAAGCATTCTTTGTTATTTTACATGGTATCAAAGCCACCGTTCTTGGTGACCTAAATTTCTCCGCTTTCGTTTCTGGCGGGCGGCACCGCCATTAACCGCCGCCCGCCGGATCATTGTTTTCCTCTAACCCAAATTCTTCACCATCTCTAAAACTACAAAGTTTTCTAGTTTTTTTTGTTGTCCGACGACTTAAAAAAAGGTCTAAATCAATTTCTACTGCCGCCAGATCTTCTACCGGTGTCGCCCTCAACAATTGGTCTTCTTCAAATTGATGGCTGAGATCAACCCGAGCATCCACTGCCGCCGTCCTCCTCCTAGATTGACAGCGCAACTCTGTCCAGAGGGATAAATTCTTCCATCCTCTTCTCCTAATCGCCGCAGCTTTGACCGGCGACCCCTACTCCACCAAACTACTGGCGCCAAGATCATCACCTCAACCTGCTTAGTGGGTAGATCTTCCGTCAACATGCATCTCCGGCAGTACCTCAATCCTTGTGTTTCTTCTCTAACCCAGTCGCGCACAACTCTAGCTCGCGTCAACCTTCTCCCTCTTTTGACGTAAGCAGCATGAGTCTGTTCGCAGCGGCTTTTCTCCTCTCCTCATCAGCACCTTCACATCTCTTCCCTGACAATCTTTCTTCTTCTCTTCTAATCCGGATGCATTCAGTCTACTCTAGTCGAAGATATGCCTCTAGCTTTTTATTACAATTCTGGTCACGATTCAAGTAAAGTTGGCGTTCAATCTTCACCGTTTAGGACGTTGGGAGCATGTTAAATATATCAATTATTTAATATATTTAATATTATATATTATAATTATGGTTGTTACCTATTATAGTTAGATTTATTATTATATAATATTACCTTATATAATTAGTCATTAATGTGGACGATTCTAGAATATATTCCTCCACCTATAAATACATATTTTGTAATCCTCTTCTATTTATTCAATTAATAAAGCATTCTTTGTTATTTTACAAGTATGTATTAATATGAAAACAATTTTATTAGATTAATATTCTTGAAAACATTAAAAAAATTATTTCATTGTACTCATATCAAATAGAAATTGAGAGTAATTAAAAGTCAACTTTGTCTAGGTTAACTCAAAAAAGTTAAACTAGACAAATAATACACTCAGACAGAGGTAGTAGTATTCTTAATCAGACAAAAAGTAACTTACAAAATTACGGGAGATTTATCTTGTTACAATTATATTCCCATCTGTTTACTAAAACAGTTGCTCTTTCATTTTTTGCTTTTTCACCAAAAGCATTTCACCCTTCACTTTAGATCTCTAACATACCCCCAACCCTAATTTACTATTCGCTCGATTTGCTCAACGCCATATCCTCCCATAAAAGTGTTGCTTCTCTCTATTCTCTCAATCATATCTTCACCCAGACTTTCTCCCTTCCAATCCATTCTTCTATGGCTACCTCCCCTCCTTCTTCAGATCCGAGCATGATATGCCCTCTTTTCGCTTGCTAACTGACAGCGATGAGCAAGGCCCTCGCCGTAGTTGAAGTGGTCATACATCGTTACACAAGTGAAAGGTATGCAGTGGATCTTGATGGAGATGTCCTTGCAAGAGATTCATATCTGACACCGATCCTTCATGAGACTACGAGAAAATTACCTCAAGGGTGACCGTCAGCCGGATGGAGTTGAGTGGGGGTTAGATCTGGAAGAAGATAATTCAGAGGTGGAATCAATTACCATTGAAGAGATTTGAGAAATGACCTTGAGTACAGAGATTTTCTTTAATAAACCATCTAGAAGTCCTTTAAAACTTCTACGATTTAGAAAGAGTAAAGTCCTTTAATGTTTGGTCAGGCCTGTAACATTTAATGTTTAATGTGTGTGTGTTCGTGTTTGTTCCTGTGATTGATCAAACTTGATTGTGTTAGTCCCATGGTGTTGGCTAATCTTTTGGCAAAATAGAATCCCAAATTTGTTAGGTGTTTTACTAGGTAGAAACCTCTAATTGTTAGAAGAGGTTTATTTTATTTAGACTTCTAGAGTTGCTGCAGTTTTCAAGGTTGACACAGAAGATGCTACAACACGATACTGCAACACACTGCTCGGTTTATAGTTCTTATAGCCTAAAATTTCCTGAGGTTTATAGTTCAAAACCTTGAGAGATGTTTTCCATAAAATTAGAAAAGTCACTACATGGACTAAAACAATCTGGCAGAATGTGGTATAATCTTCTCAGTGAATATCTGCTCAGAGAAGGATACAAAAATGATCTAATTAGTCCATGCATTTTCATCCGTAGATCTAAATCAGGCTTTTCCATAATTGCAGTATATGTTGATGATTTAAACATCATTGGAACTTCTAATGAAATAGAAAACACTACAAAATATCTCATGAAAGAATTTGAGATGGAAGATCTTGGGAGAACAAAATTTTGTCTGGGTCTTCAAATTGACCATTTGAAAGACGGAATATTCATCCACAAGTCAAATTACACGAAGAAGGTTCTGAAGTGGTTTTATATGAAATGCCATACCTGAGTGCTATTGAATCTTTGATGTATCTAGCAATTCAAACAACACTTGACCAGATATTGCATTCTCGGTGAACTTGTTAGCCAGACACAGCTCGACCCCAACTAGGAGGCATTAGAATGACATTAAACATATTTTGCGATATCTCAATGGTACCATCAACGTTGGTTTATTTTACCGCAAAGGTGCCAAGGCCACTCTTATTGGATACGCTGATGCACGATATCCAAAAAAGGCAAAATCTCAAATAGGATATATGTTTACTTATGGAGATACCGCAATATCATGGAGACCGATGAAGCAAATTGTGACTGCCACGTCATCAAATCACGCGGAGTTGATAGCTCTCTATGAAACAAATAGAGAATGTGTATGGTTGCAATCAATGATCCAACATATCCAAAGCGAGTGTGGTATAGAAACAATCACTAGTTATCCGACTCCTATATATGAAGACAACACTGCATGAATTGCTGAAGTGAAAGGAGGTTATATCAAAGTAGATCGAACAAAGCATATATTACCAAAGTTCTTCTCAACACATGATCTCGAGAAAGACGGAAAGGTTGACATCAAGCAAATCAAGTCCAGTGAGAACCCCGCTGATTTATTCACAAAAGCGTTGCCCCCAAAGAAATTTGAAGAACTCATACACAAGATTGGCATGTGTCGCCTCTGTCAATTATGCTAAGCTGAGGGGGAGAATTTTATGAACTGTACTCTTTTTCCCTTGATCAGGGTTTTATCCCACTGGATTTTTCCTGACAAGGTTTTAAACGAGGCACTACAAAAAATCCTTTATATTCCTTTATATATATATATATAAAGCAGACTCCAAGCTGCAGAAATGTGACACTTGGCGGAGCTGTAGCCCGACATGTGGCAAAGCTGACGTGTCATTTTCTTAGGCAACTAATGATGAGAAGGAATGTGATTTTGCATATATACTCAAAAAAGAAGGAATTACATTCAATATACTTAATTATGAAGAGACTAAAGATATTCTATTTTATACTCCCTCCGTCCTAAAACTTTCTTCCCACTTCTCCTTTTTCTCCGTCCTAAAACTATCTTCCCATTAGGAAAAAAAAGATGACAAATGACATTAATACCCTCATATATTTACACCAATTATCTTCTAACTCTATATTTTGAATGATTGCAAAAAAAAATTCAAAAAATCTTTTTTAAGGAGGGTAAAATTTGAAGTCAAAGCCAAAAATTAAAAATGGAGAAAAGTCAAACTGAGAAGAAAGTTTTTGGACGGAGGGAGTAATAAATTATTTCCTAATTATGCATATTTTTCTGTTCAATTATAACAAAACTTCTAAGTAATTAATAAGATACTTTTTCATTCTAAATAAAATTTCATATTTTCTATGATATATTTAAATTGAAGCAGTCTGTTTTGATTTTATTTATTTAAATATTGATGTAAGTTAATAAACAAAAAACTGATTTTAAAACTCCAATAAAATTTTATAAAACATGAAATGATTAGAATATGAATTGTTAAAACAGGTAAACTATACTAGATCTTATTTGGTAATTTAATTATATTAATTATATGGTTTGATATAATTACTAGAAAATTTATGACTAACATTTTTTAGATGATTTATGATTTACTTTTACCAATGTGTTATTTATTATGATATTTTTAAGGTTTAAATATATATTTAATCCCTTAAAAATAGGTTTTTTTGTCCTTGAAAAATATTTGTTGTTTAAATCATTCTTTATTTTGACAATGATTCTTATACTTAATTAAGAATTTTAATTTGTTAAAATAACACATTTATTTCGTATTTAATACCTTAGTTTTAGATTTCTAATTACTTAAAACATAGTTGTGATCCCAATAATTGAGCCCTTTATCAAATTGCATTTACAACATATGTGTACATTTGTGATAATCAAATTATTAAGCTAAACATTAATTTGAAAGGGATAAATTAAATGATATTTAAATACCATTTAATTTGAAAGGGATAATTAATTTGAAAGGAATAAATTAATTTGGAAGGGATAAATTAATTTGAAAGGATTAAATTGAATGATAATAAAAAATTATTAAGCTATATATATAGCTAAAAATTATTTTAAAGGGATAAATAAATAATATTTAAATACCATTTTATTAAAAAGTAAAATATTTATATATGGTCCCTAATGCCTTTTTTTATATAACACACGCCTTATTTATATTAAAAGCAAAGATTAACATCTTAGAGCTTATTATTAATTTTTACATACATCTATACTCTTGAAAAAATCGCTAGCAATTTGAGTTCACAAAAGGTAAGATTTTTGGTTATTTATTAATCGAGCCGTCTACTACAAAAATTTATTACTTCTCTGCTTCGATATCACCAATTTAAGAACAATGTAACGAAAGATGGTTATCGGCACACACGCTCGACGTTGTAGAAATGGTCATAAATTTGTTGTATCCTCATCCCAAAAGATGAGATAGAGTACTTGAGTTGATTATGCATGTCAGACAAATTCAGATGTAAGTGTTGATGATGATTTAATAACAGTTGAGTTTTTCAATGAAATTTAATTTTCGAAAATTTTATCCAACAAAATAGTTTTAAAAAGGAGGTACCGATTATGTTGAAGAACTGCGAAAGAACGTTATCGGTGCTATTGTGATTTGTAAAATTGAGTTGGGTAAAAAGTTTACATATCCCGGATGAATTTGGTACCATCTCATCCAGGACTAGCCCTAAAGTTCCAGAAAAGACGAGTCTCAATTGTTTTAAGTTTTTCTATGACTATCAACAAATGTCAAGGTCAAATATTGTTTGTGTTGGATTATTTTTAACGAGGTCGATGGCCAGTTTTATATTGTAGTTTCACCAATGAAGACAAATACATGATTAAAAATACTTGTTCAATCATACCCAAAAAATGTTGTATACTCTGAAGTCTTTCAAAAAATTTAGAATTAAAACAAACTTTGTAGAGTACACATTCAATTCCTCAAATATTATTTACTTTATTTTTGCATTTTTGCTTATAGTATTAAAAACCGTGTGAGAGAAATATATTTACTTGATTCAAAAAAAATATCACAATGAAAAAATTAAAGAATCGACAAAAATATTTTCAATCCCGTGCGTGGCACGGGTTGAAAAGCTAGTTAGAATGAGTTTCTAAACTATACCCATTTCACGAATACCCATCATCAGTATGAGGCTTAGGGCCTTTGCAAAGTACCATTATGAACAAGAAGAAGAGTGAAGAATTAATAGAGAGAAGAAATCAGAAATATATTATATCTATTTTCATAATCTCTGATGAGTAGTTTTTCTCTCATTTTATAACATGAACTACTTTTTAGGAAAAACTTATGAAAATAATCTTAACTATTGTTGGTCCGTTCTAAATCATTCCACACTTTTTTTTTTGAAAAGTTGATGGAAGTGATCAGTCCAGTCCACCATACTATTCGTAACCGTGAATATGTCAAATAAAATTAGTCTATATTCTATAACAATATACGGAGTATTAATTTTATTTACTTAATACTACCTCCGTCCCAGATGTATTTTTGTTCACTTTCATTTTTACACACCTTCGAATACACTTCTTTAATCCATTTTATCTTGTAATTTGTATATTAAAAAATTAAAAAATTATAGAAATTATATATTGATAATCTATATGTTAAGACAAATCAAACAAGATCACACATGACTATATTTAGGCTTACACATTGAGAAAATTTGATGAGTCAAAGTGCTTAGATGAACAATTTCAAAAGTCAAAACTGGACGAATACTTCGGGACGGAGGGAGTATAATTCTAATACTTTATATGTGTCTAACGTCTATTTTAGTTTTTTTGCCTCACATTTTCGAAGATACTAACTGAGAAGTATTAATGTTGTTTAATTTCATATTTTTATACACTAATTACTATGGAGTATATGTTTTAAAAATAAAACCTTTTTTAAAAATTGAGAAAACCTACTACATAAATTACAATACATCCCAAAATGAGTCAGATTTTAAACTATTCAAAAACAATTAAATTATTTAGTTTAAGTTCAATATTCAAACTAATGTAAGTTCGACTTGAATAATCAAATAAAATTATTTCTAATGTAAATTTAATATCATTTGATTCAATTTCAAAGTGTCGTATAAAATAACACAATTTATAATATTTATTTATATACTCCCTCTGTCGCCAAAAAATTATTGTTTGAGTTTCACTGAGTTTAATTGTTGAAAATTAAAATGAATAAAATTTATTTCAATTCGATTGGAAAACAAATTTTATGACTAACATACCCATATTTTAAAAGGAAATAAAGTAAGTACTCCCTATATCCGTGAGCATTTCTCTATTTTTGACTTTTTTGATCAAAATCGGTAAACTTTGACATCAAATTAAATAAATGATATTAGATACTGTTACAAAAATATTTTTTTTGATTCATTATATCAAATATTTTCAAAATATTATTTTATCTAATTAGTATACAATATACATACATATATACATACATACATACATACATACATATATATATATATATATATATATATATATATATATGTATGTATGTATGTATGTATGTGTATATGCATGTATATATCATTTAATTATAGGTCTAAGGTAGAAACATTTGACCAAAAGAAGTAAAAATTGGACAAATACTCTGGGACGGATGTACTATTTTTTTAGCTTTTGATTATATGAAACAATTATATTTAAAGAAATCACCTCAAATGGGAGTAAAATATAACATTTATCCTTAAAATTAGAGTTTCATGTTTTTATTTGTTAATTAGGAATTTGCATTGTGACGTTATGGCATTATATACTGACATCCTACTGTATTTTTTTGTACGTACTATATATTGGCGTTATTTATTTTGTACTCTTATTTAGAGATGAAAAACTTAGAACTTTTATTTTAATACTTTTCCTTGTTTATTCTTATTTTTGTCTTTTTCTCATATATTTAAAATGTCTATGTTTTTATTTTAGTGAAGTAGCAGTTAATCAATGCAACTTTCGATACTCATCATGGATAATCTAAAAACATTTGCTTTGTATTTTAAACATAGGGTTGAGCTACATACGATCGACGCACCTTATCCCGCAATGGGGGGAAGAACTTTTGAATTGATTAATTGAAACACCGGATAATGTTGTTGAAAGAAAGCATGATGTTTTTCTTAGGACATCCAAAAAGAAGAGTAAGAAGATTTTTGTAAGACGAGGGTATAGTCATTATACACATAGATATTAATGGTTAAAGTATGATAATGAAGACCAAAAAGATAAATGAGAACATACTTTGGAATAGATGGAGCATTTTTCAGGAATAGTTTGGGTTATTTATTCTCGACAATTTTTCCTACTTTTAAAAGCTTTTAATTATCTATCCAAATACAGCTAAATATCTAAATATGTGTGTCACCATTGTACTTTTTGTATACAACTAGCTGGTTCTCATCCCACCATCTATGTGCTTCCTTCACTGTGAATCTTTTCCGGCTGCAGAAAAAACCCACCAGAAAAGATCATCAGAAGCATGATAACGATAGAGTTTGAGCTGAGACACAAGTCATAAATCTAAAGAACTAGCTAGTTCTGCCATGCCCGGAAAGTTTTTACCTAAACCGAAGTTGCTTGATCATCCTCTCCCCGCTTTGCAATGATTTAAGGGTTATGTAGACGCCAGGTTTATATCGTTCCACCCATTCATGACCACCTTGTCCCATTTCTGATTCGGTTTGGCACGATTCATCTCCTGATAGAGACTGTCGAGTGTCGTCCTTGTTACACAAAGATCTTGAGAAAATAATAGGAGAAGTACATAGACTATCGGCTTTTCTTGCATTGATTCGCAATGTCTTAGGGAGATTGCAAGTATCATCTGCAAAAGAATGTGCACTATCCATTTCGTTTGTTTCTCTTCCTGGGAATTGATTCTTTGACGTGGCATGAAGCTGCAAGATATGAATTGAAAATCACAGATTGATTGGTATAGTTTCACATCTAAGCAGCTATCATGGTCATGGCACCCAAGATATATTGCTCTGTATCATTATCATTAAATAAGAGACAGTTCCACATTTGCAAAAAAAAAAAAACCCTTTTTTTTGTTTGAATTCATTCGCCATTGATTCATTCATGTAGAAAAAGTTTACCTTTGATGTCAAAGCTTTTATAACTTCCTGAGCTGCTTCCCTCCTGGCTGCTTCTGCTTTTGCAACCAGCCAAACTTCCTCAAGTTTTTGCCGACATTCTTGAATTTTCTTGTTTCTCAATCGACACTTCTTTTTTAGACTCTCAACCTATTTTTTAGCACAAGAAAAGCGCAATAAATATCCCAATTTGATCAAAGTTCAGTGCATATGAGCAATACGCACCAAGTCAAAACTGAAAAACCATATTTCAATTTTAAATTTGTAGATGAAAATGTTGGAAACATTGGCATTCGGTATAAAAATTGATACTCAAAAAAGCAGAGTAGAGAGACTTTGCCTGGCTTCTTAGTTTCTGAATTTCTTCTAGACGCAAATAATCCAATTTTGAGCAGTCTGGTGGCGTCATAGCAGAACCTACTCGTTCCTTTGCAGTTGTATCGACTGTTTCGTGTTCTGTTAGATACCTTTTAAACCTTTGAGGACAAGGAACTTGCCCCCATCGTGGGAAATCCAGCCAAGAAGAAATCAAATTCATCTTCTGATTCTTTTCGTCTTGGTGATTTCGTGCCTTCTTCTCAGTCATTTGACTTCCGCTCATACTAAAAAAATTCCTTCTAGGGGTCATTCTACACATAGTACTACTTATTTGATCCCTTTCATCATTTTCCTCCATATGACTAATCATTGAATGTGGTCTGGGGCTATAAATGTCATGCTCTAAAAATGTAGTCCCTAACTGAGCAGTCCTCCGAAGTTGGTTGAAACATGGGTCACATACTCGAAGAGGTTTAGTTTTATTCGCTGTTAGGGACCCATTTGCACTTGTTTTCCTGCCGCAAGCGCGACATAACAATACTCCACAGTTGTAGCAATTATGCTTCTTCCTTGTGATGCCGAAAGCCAAGTTGCAGCCTTTGCATGTAGATTGATCATTATTGGTGGACATGGACTTGGGCAAGCAAAGGGCAGCTGTGGAATTTGGTCCACAAAAAATGTGTTCAACGTGTCGATTTTCTAGGGCATCAACCAAAGTTGGAGAGCTTCTGTCTTTCCTATCACCCGTTCCCAACTGCCCGTTCATACCTCTTCCCCATGAATAGACATTACCCTTTGATGTTAGGGCAGCAACATGATAACATCCTGCAGAAATTTCTCTAACAAACTCGTCCTTAAGTTCCCCTTGTACATTCTTTATTGATACATTGTCATCATCTTTTCCTTGTGGACATCCCATTGTATAAACCTTTCCTGTGGAAGACAGCACGACCGTGAAATCTGCGCCGCAAGAAACTTGAAAACAATCTTGCTCCACCAGCTTTGCAACGCAAGCAGGCACAAGTTTCTTCTCATGATCGGAATGACCAAGCCTGCCCTTATCACCATGACCCCATGTGAAAAGTTTCCCTGCCGGCTTGCTGGGCTCAAACTGATTATTAGCTATTATTTCAACAATGGCAGCTGTATGCCATGATCCACATGAGACATACTTTACCCTTAAGCCCTCAAGGGATTCAACTTGTTTTGGGTGAGGAAGGGTTTTGGTGTTTCCATGACCGAGGGCCCCAAACACTCCATCTCCGTAGGTAAACAGTTGCCCGGATATTGAGACTATAGCAGTATGCCATTCTCCACAAGAAACGGATGATATTTTAATGCCATCCAGACCGTCCGAAACTTTATGTGCCAACCAATAGCTTCTCTTTCTATTGTCGCTCTGAGAATCGGCACTAGAAATGTCATCACCCCATTTATAGAGTTCACCGGTAGCAGTCAGAGCATATGTTTGGTATTCACTACAAGACACAGACTTCACATGAATTCCTTCAAGGGATTCAACAACTCTTGGGTAGGGAGAATGGGAATCAACTTTATGCCCCAATCGCCCATGCTTTCCTTCACCCCAGGAGAAAACATCCCCATGTTTGGTAGCAAAGAAAGCATGACTTCGACCTAAGGATAACATCTGTACATCGGCAAACATGACATTGGAATCAAGAAACTTGGGTGACAATGCATCTAATTTTCTCCCCCCTACCCCTAAAAAATCTCCTTCTATTCCTTCTCCCCAAATGAAAACATCTCTGGGCACGTTATTGGCTGGTTGTGCATACTCAAAGAGGGATGTCTCTAGCAAATTAAGCATAGCCGGTTGATTATCTGCAAGGCCAGAATCTAATGTCCTCTTGTTTAAATAATATGGTTGGACATATGGAGAATTCGAGTTCACAGAATCCATTCCATTATTTATACTTGATGTACTTGGTTCAGAAAAGCTGTCCGAAGAATGTGATAAGCCATCTGAATATCCCTTCTCTGAAAATAACTGATAGGGGCTTCCTACCCAGCTCTGTACCTTCAATAAATAAATAAATAAAAAGTGTATGTAATTATTAGGGAAATGGAAAGGATGGAAACTTAGGGACAAGCATCAAAATTGTAGAGAAAACATGAGGTATTCTTCTTTTAATTCTGTTTTGATCCGGAAGTGACAGCAAGTCACTTGGTAAACTTAAACAAGGTAATGAAAAGTACATACAAAAAAGAAAATTGGTCATATGGAGAAAGACTTGCTTTCTACGCGATATGATCTTCATAGAAAAGAGTCAAGTTTAAGCTCCATATAAGTTCTTCCAGCATCCTAAGTACCAATGCTCTCGATTTTTTATTTATTTACTTTGTATGTATTTATTTTCACTTCTTTATAGTTTTTTAGGGGGGAGGGTAAAACCTGAGATAGTTTTGTCATAGTCGTCCGATAAGCTCTGAAGTTATGTCTCCTTTGAGTACATCTAACTGGACTGCTAATGCAACTTTGAACTCCAGTTCCAGATAACTGTCTATGGCAGCTCTCAAGACAAGAAAAAACCACGACTCAACTTGAATTATGTCCTCGCATATCTATATATTGAAAGTGAGAAAGGAAGACATTAATGTTAACAAGATTAACATAATTGGGGAAATGAAAACATCTTCCAAGATGCATCCTTCAACGAATGGCCCGATTTGAATTTTAAAAGAATTACCCGATTTGCATAGACAAGTGAAATGCACTGACTCTCTCTTTCTGATTTTAGCTGCCTCTGAGGATTAACCTTAATAGACAAACACAAAATCCTCATGAATATACAGAAATTCAAAAAAAGGGTTGGCCATAGACTTTTTGAATATGTAGCAGTTACAGGTAAATGAGGATAAAAGCATCACTTGTTACACCATTTTGTCCATGAATCATGAATTATATTAGTTACTGAAGTATACCATACATGTTCATGTACCAAATCTACAGCTTCTCATCATGCAGTTCATGTTCACTTAGTCATTAACTTTTACCTTAGCAAATGCATGGTTAAGCCCAAAAAAAATGACTTTCTGGAGCAAAGAACAAAAGAATCAAATCGATCGACATTAACTATATAACATTAGTACATTATGCACCTTCAATCTCAGTAATAAACAAAAGATATTTAAAAAAAAAAGATGTTCTGGTATTAACATCAAGAGGAAAAAAAAAGGAAGTAAAATGTGTGTGTTTGGGAGTGTTCAAATGAGAATATAATAGTACCTCAGAATAGTCATGAGAATCAATACAATGTATGGGATTTAAGATCTAAGAGCTCTACATATTTTCCATATTTTTACATAACAAGTTTCCCAAACAAAAAAAAATACTTGTTTGCAAGTTAAAATAAAACTAAAGAGGGACCCTATTTTCCCATTAGGCCTATAGCCAATAAAATGTCAGATTAAGACTCCATGCTGAACGTAAAGGAATTTTACCTAAATAATATTCCTTATTAAAACATAGTGGCTTTCCCAAAGTAGTACCATATGTAGTACCTCTGGTCATTGTTCAAGTAAATGTACACTGCCACTAGACATTATTCAAACTAAATGTCCAACATTATTTAGATATTATTTAAAAAAATAAAAAAGTTCAAAATGACATATGTTTTAGTATTATTTAGCTACAAACTCTAGTACAATATAAGCTTTAAAGAAGGTGTCTGTAATATGGCAATGGGGTGAGAAAAAAAAAACCATTTTCAGAAGCTACAGCCTTGGAAGACAAGAGTAGAAGAACAAGGGTTTGGTTTCCAGGCAAGGGAACCTTATAATTCGTCCAACCAAAAAGAAAAAGCATTTCAAGGGTTATAAAGAGAAAGGGAGAAACAGAGAAGAACTCACAAGATTCTCCTTTTTCTTCTCTTTCAATTCGATAGGTTGTTGAGAGAGATTCTTCTATACTTCAATGAAATGGGAACCGTGGAATGAGACTCATCCACTGCAGTACTGCACGCATGTTTTGAGCTTTTCCTTCTTTTTTGGGTATCGAGCATCATTACCTCCATACTTTGCGCGATTTTCTGATTTATGTCAGGAAACTAACCAAATTTGAAATAGGTCTAATTTCGCAATAACATTCTCTATTTAGTCTTCATTTTTCTTGTAAAATTTAAAGTATATGGAATAATTTTGAAAATGTTAATTCAAACGCTTATGGTTGATAGTTTTCAAAAGGATGTTGCTAAATCCACCCCAATTTTGGTTATATCCACCTCATTTATTATAAATGTACAAATTTGCCCCTAAAAGTGTTAAGAGCATGGCAATGGTATAGAGAAAATGGAATGCCACACGGTGACGTGGAATATTTTAACCAATCAAAATCATTCCAGTCAGCGTGTGGCAAGTGAATGGAGTGGCATGCCTTACAATGGCAAGTAATTGTTTTTGTTCATTTTTACACTTTTTAAACATATTTTAATTATTAAAAATTATTTTACTTATATTTTTTTACAAAAATAGATGTACTCCTATTTTTTTAAAAAAATCTTCTTTTTTTTCAAAAAAATCAAAAAAAATAAATAAAAAAAGAAATCTGACTCGCGGAAGCCTCAAGAACCGTGGAAGAAGTGGAATCCCACGCGAGGCAAGCTGATGGTTGTCCTACATGTCATAGCATGGCAAGCGGATGGAGCGCCGTTGCACATGCTCTAAAAGAGAAAAGTAACATGTAAACTTAATGTAAGGATAAACTAGTCCAATTCTTTTTAATGGGGTGGATATAGCCAAAAGTGGGATGGATTTAGCAACATCCTTTTCAAAAATCTTGAATTTGTTTCCAACTACTTCCATGGTATTACTCTGATTTTAGAATATGAAAAGTTATCAATAAAAATATTCACATAAAACTAAAACATAAATTTTATACATGGTATCAAAATAAGATGTCTAATCCATACTTTATTTAAAAAGACATGGAGTCAACATATGGTTTTCCCGTCCAAAAAGTATGACAATTACAAATGGCAATTGTGAAGTTAAAATGGTAAGTGACCGAAATTATAGTAATAATTATTATAATTATTATATTTATAATAATAAAAGAAAAGTAAGTTAAAATGGCCGAAAGGTAAGTTAATAATTGTGAAGTTCAAATGGTAAGTGGCCAAAATTATGAAGTTCAAATGGTAAGTTATATGCTAATTATTATCGTATCCATACTTTATTTAAAAAGACATGGAGTCAATATTACGTTTTCCCACCCAAAGAATATGACCATTACATATAGTAATGTGAAGTTAAAATGGTAAATGTCCGAAATAATAGTAATATAAAATTTACGTTTTATAAGTATAATTATTATATTATATTTATAATAATTAACTCTCATTTTTAAAGTGTTCAAATTTATACTAGCAAGAAAGGTAAGTTATAAAAAATATTTATAAAATAGGCAAAAATTATTTATAAAAATATTTATAAACTACAATACACGCCAATCAATGCTATTAAAACGTGAGTATGATTATTCTTACCATAATTATATAATTATATGATTACCATGTGACTAGGTTATATAAAAAACGTGTGTATGATTATAGTATAATATAATTATGGTAAGAATAACTATAAACACATTTTCGAAAAAAATTATTACGGTAAAACCCTTTAAATAGTAATTTTAATTATAGTAATTTTAAATATAGTAAATTAAATAATGTAAATATACGTTCCATTTTAAATAATTTAAATAATTTAAATTATACTTGTCATTTTACTTATAGTTATTTTAATTATAGTAATTTTAAATATAGTAAATTAAATAATTTAAATATAGTAATAGTAATTTAAATTCGTTATAGCACTTTGATAACCTTATGTGCAAAAATCATATTATAAATACATCCAATTACAAAGCTTTCATAGCCATTACATTCATCGTAAATTTTTCTCATACGTTTCAAAACTGTCATTTCTACGAAAAATGGGGATCTTAACTGCTTTGAAAAATGTTGATGAGCGGTCATCATTGTTAATGATGAAGCTACGAGCAATTAGGGTTTATCACAAGTTTTCGTAACAATAATCCAACATGTTTTAGTCATGGACAACTGTATGTTGCAGTTTCAAAGTAACTAATCGTAGTGGGTTGAAGATTTTGATATGCAATGAAGACAATATTCCCACAAATTGTAAAAATAATGTAGTTTATAAAGAAGTCTTTCGAAATTTGTAAAGCAGTGATGTTTTGTACCTTAAAATAATATAATCTCTATATTCTATTGCATTTCATTTTTTATCATTGAAAAATGATTTGAATTTAATAACATAAAAATGACCCGTGCGAGTGTGATACTAGTTTTTTATAGCCTAACTAGAAGTATTAGCAATGTGAAATGTTTGACATTGTACGTTGACATTTTATATGTTATTAATTGTTGGGATTGTGTGTACCTTATCTCCCCTCTGCATTGGTATGATATTGTTCATTTTGGCCAAATTTTTACCTTCGAAAAGGCCACATACTAACATAATTGGGTTGAACCTTATTTGGAGGTGGCAATCGGGCAAACCGAATCGGTTTCAGATTAGATTTTTTCGATTCTGATATATGTTATAATCAGCTTGGTTCGGTTCGGTTCGGATCAGTTTAATTTCAGTTCAGATTTGATTCGGTTCTATACCTTTTCAGTTTCGGTTCGGTTTCGAGTCGGTTCATATACGGTTCAGATAGATTTTGGTTCGGATACAATTTGAATCAGATATATTTCGGTTTCAGATCTAATTCAGTTCGGATATATTTCAGTTTCGGATATGCTTCAATTCAGATATATTTCAATCAAATATATTTTGGACATATATTATTTTCTAATTAAAATTTAATTATCCAAATTTCTTTATATGTTTTATCACATTTATCAATCTATCATCAATTCAACACCTCATATTATTTTATATTTTTTTTCTAATTATATTATCTCTACCCTACATAATCTTCCTTTTTGACGTTTTAGTCATATTTTATAAATTTGGACTACAAATTTAAAAAAATATATATTTAATTATGATATAAATTTAATATAATTAAATTGATTTTAGAATAATATAGAGGGGTTCTACATCCACTTACTTTGGGTGGCTACGGAAGCCACTAGCTTTAAATGGATTAACTGCGGTGCTCTATTCATAAAATTGATAGTTTTAATCCTCGATATTCTGGTAAATCCTTCCCCTGGAGCCAGTGGCTCTAGAACCATTTTGATAATAGTAATAATAATAATAATAATAATAATAATAATAATAATAATAAAAATACGAAAAATACACGCAAATAAGTTTTAAATTACTATTGAAAGGAATCAGGAAATGTTAGATTAAACTAGAAAGAGTAGAAAGAAATTTAAAAAGGTTGGAAGAAGTTAGAAGGATTAAATTGGGAGAAACTAGAAAGGGTTGGAGAAACTAAAAACAATTGGAAAGCAAAAGAAAAAGTTGGATTCTCTTGGAAGTTAAGGGTGCATTTGATTGTAGGAAAATATATGTCTAGATATTTGTTATCCCCCACATATTTTATTGAAACATTGTTGATATTTGAATGAAAAACAAAGCTATTTTGAGATAATTTTAAATATTTTAGGGGGCATAGTTTGTTTTTTAATATATGATTAATTTCAAATCATTTTACAGTGCCCCATTCTTTAGTGGGCGGGTGGGGGAGGGGTGGTTGGGGGAGGTGGGAGAGGATTGGGGTGGATGGGGGAAATGAACTCGATCGAGGAATCAAAGAATTTGAGTATTGATTAAAAAAATGAGTTCTCATCCAAAACAAGCAAAAGTCATTTTCTCTACGTAGAGAAATTAGTTTTTCAAAAAAAATATTTCCTACCACTTATACAACCTAACATGAAAAAAGTAGAGTTGGGATTTGCTAAAACAAAAAAAAATTCTTTTAACCAAACAGATCCTAAGAAGTAGAGTCCAAAAGAATATAATCTTAAAAAATTGAAGAAATTTTTTATAATTGACACAAATTTTATTTGGCCCCGTGCGTGGCACAGGTTAAAATATAACTCCCTTTGTCTCTAAATGTATACCACATATCTAAAAACGAGATAAAATATCAAGTTTTTTCAATTCATTTTATTTAAATATTGGTATATTGAAATAAAAAATAAAATTTACATATTTAAAAAACTACATAAAAAGTTTTTCGAAATAGGAGGTGTCAAGAATATTTTATTTTATCAAATCACCAATGAAAATATACAAATAAATAAAAGTTCATGTGACTGTTAAAAATGCAAATGAGGCAAATCTGATTAAATCTGATTTTAATACAGATAAGTAATAAACATAAAAAATAAGTTGAACAAAACTAAGTCTTAGTTGTTTGTTATTTAAAAATAGATATTGTAGTAGTAGTAATAAAAATAATAATAATGAAAATAATAATAATAATGCTCCCTCCTCAAATTAAATTCCATGCTTACTATTTACATTGTCAAACTTCATTCAATTTCTTTCTCTTTTTTGATAGTTATTTGTTAAAAAATAATCATGTCACTACTAATTTTGTAGATCTTTTAATACAGTATTTTAATATATAATTTTTATTTTTTAAATCTACTGAAAATAATTTTAATTATAAATCGTAACTGAAAACGAAAATATAAATTGAGATGGATGGAGTAATAAAATGCAAATATCAAAGTGATGTTTTCAAAATGTTGGTCCTACATTTTGAAATCAACATTTTGTGTTCAACATAATTTTAAGCGGCCCGATTCTATGGCCCCTAGGTTAACCAAACCAGACCGACCTGTTCGGACCGTGAACCGGCGAACCGGTGGTCCAATCGGTCCGGTCCAGCCTTTAAAAATAATCTTTTATTACATGTTCACAAGGGTGCTTTTTGTTACATTTAAGAACCGTCCAAACAAGGATACTTTTTGTTATATGTTCACATAATCTTTTATAATATTTCATAATTAAAAAAAGATTGTATAAAAATTCCTTTTCAATTTTAAAAATATAATATTATACAGCTATGAGTCAAACACAAAATCATTGATATTATTGATACTATTACAAAATGCATATCATGCAAAGATTTCAAATGATTACTTTTTAATATTAAACAACTTATTTGAAAAAAATAAAATCAACTCTTCATTTCTAAAATTTTAATATTATTTTTTTAATATGTAAATTTTAATTTTTTATTTAGTAAAATAACTCAAATATATTAATATAATTTTAGTCAAATCTTATAAATTAAGTACTTTCTTTAGGTATTTATACATAAGAATGTGTATGTGTGTCTATATGCATGTGTGTGCGCGCGCGTAAAATTGATTGTTAAATTGATTGTTTCTATTCCTCCTAACTTCCCTAGTAAAATTGATTGTCTTTATCCCTCCTCCCTAGTAAACCCCCTCACCCAGACCCGGCCCCAACTTATCTCTAACCACGTCAATTGCACCTTGAATTGACTTTTAGGTCAAAATTTTGGACTTTAAAGTCAACTATACTTGTGGGATGCAATTGACGTAGGCAGGAAATGGGTTGGGGTCAGGGCTGGGCTGGGGAGAGTTATCGAGAGGTAGAAATCATCAATTTTATGGACGGAACACTATAAGATGATAGTGACTTCCGTGGCCACTGAAAACCAATCAATGTCCATTGAATCCAGACGAATTTTAAGGGGTGTGCTAGGTGTACCCCAGCTCATGTACAGAGAGGCTTCTCACAGAGTTAGTGACAAGCTTAGTGACAAGCTTGGTGTACACCAACCGGGGTACACCTAAGTTTTTCCTAATTCTAGATTACCAAACACCCCTCAACCAAACATGTGAAAAAGAAAGTAACCCAAAGGAGTTTTCATATAACATGCAACACTAAACATGCAAAGAGTTCAACACAAATGTGGGTCTTAACAGAACAAAAAAACACAAGCTTCTGCAAACAAGTTTGAAATGGTAAAAAGCTGACCATCTTTGGAACTCCTAAGTTCTTGAAAGAGATAGCACAACTTCACTCTGCCATACTGACACCTTCATGGCCAACATCATCATCGTCATCACTTAATTGAAGATGAGCAAGTTGCTCCAGAGGGATTGCAGGGAAATCATCGTCATCACTGGCGGATGCCATTTCCGAGGGTTGATATTCCTTATTGCGGTACAGTGACAAGTTAAATATGTCCTCAGGGTTCTCCTCCAACTCTTCCAAGAACCGTTCATACTCTGAAATTGCCTTCTCTTTGTTGTCTTTCGCTCTGCCGGTGTCATCAACTTCCATGTTAAGTGACTTGAGCTTCCATGGACGAGGCTTGCCCCTCTTCCTCTGCCGCTTTTCTTCATAGCTTTTCTTTATCAAAATCACTTCAGGGAGGGAAAAACTTTTGAATTTGTCCAACTGGATATCGTTATTGTTGGCTCCATATAGATCATAACCAAAGGCATTGTCCCCGGATTTCAAAAGATGGCCTATATGTGTTCTTACCGTGAACATTATGTCATTCTTGCCGAAATCTGATAGACGAGCTACTTGGACATCAGCCATAGCATATTTCGAACCACCAACAGTAACTTCAGAAGACACAAGTTCAACATCCAAAACTATATATTCCACAAGCTGCCTACTTGTGAGTAGAGGCTTAAATGATGCCCTCCAATACTGATCAGCATCTAGAAAACAGTGCCTCAAAGTGAACGGATCCAGCAAAGTAATGCTATTGGTCACTTTAGTGCAGATCACAAGCGGGCCAAGATTTCCCAAACTGGCAGACAGCTTTTGTGGGAGACAAATGAGGTCTTCACGGCAAACTGGAGAGATCTCAACGGAAAATGTATACTTGTAATTGTAGGTATTGCTCTTGCCGTCTTGAGACACAAGTTGCTTGTCGCTACGACTTCTGGTAGGCACCACCTTACCCACAAAATCCACAAACTTCAGAGCATGACTTCTATTTCCAAAGAAGAAATCCACCCCCTGGGTCATTTGTTTTATAAGTATGGCCCGAGAAGCAGCATTGTGCTTAAGAATGACCTGTTCCAAATAAAAGAAAGTTCTCCTGTGAGAAACATGCTGCCTGAGCTGCACTGCGGCCACCCACTGGTCAGGGTTGGCCTGAATACGTGAGCAAGGTTCGCACAACTGATAGTGGACGACAAACTCAACAATATACGTTTGTTCAAGGATTGCCCCCTGCAGAACTTCTTTCTGAATTTTAAGCTTGACTTGGATCCTCTTGGAATGAGGCTCGGTCCAGCTGAACTCGGCATCCACCAATCGAGCTTTATTAAAAGATTTCAGCCTCTTCACACAGAATGTTAGAAGATCTTTGGATTCAGGCTGGGCTTTAATCCAAGTTCTAGGAGGCTGTAAATAGCTTTCACAATCCGGGCAGTAAGTAATGGTGACATGTTTCTGTAACCCTTCAGTTATATCAACCTCCGAGCGTAAACAACGGGCACACATATTGACAGCATTGGGCTGTATGGGCACACCACATTTGCAGCACGGAACATTGCCAATTGTTTGAGAGACATTGAACATACCTGAATCTTCTCCCATCATTCTGCCTAGTCACAAAGAAGCAGGAAAACACTTATAAGGCTAGAGACACAGATTCCACAGCCTACATAGTCACACTTTATATTTCCTTTGTCTTAGGTTGTCCTTTTTGGGATATCTGGAATAAATTGTCAGCTTACCTTAACAAGGTTAGTAAACAATTTGTTATGAGTGATCTAAAATACAACCTAAACTGAAGATTAGCATTGTTTGCCTCAATTAAGGACGAGCTAAGTTCATTTTTTTTTTTGGTTATTAACCACTGTCTTAAAAATTGGACAACAAAATAGTAAATTCAATCGTTTCCTTCATCTTATATACCCCTATTCTTAAAAATTGTCACGAAATCATACCAGGAGATGATTAAAATTACAGGGACATAGAAAAGAATACTATAACCACGAAAATAATTGCACAAAGCAGTCAGTGAAGCAGATAGTAATCGGAAACTGAAAAACATAAATTGTACAGTGCTTGTTCAACGATTAAAAAATCATCTAAAATTGTGGAATTCGTACCTTAGACCTAAAAATTCATCAACAACATTTGAAACAAAACATTAGAAAATCTGTTTGAGAGTATCTGCTAAAGTTGGAAGTTAAAGCAGCGAAGAACGGAGAATCGTCGAACAAAGAGGCAAGAGCGAAAAGGAAGTACCTGATGGAATGGAAATGGAGATGGAGGGACGGTGAATCGGCGTAGAGGAGATCAGTTGTAAAGAATACTTTATAGGGTCGGCTAGGAACCGGCCAAATAATATTATTGGTTTTTAGTTGGACTCAATGCGTGAACCGGCCCAATAATATTATTATTGAGGAATGAAACTTCTTTTTTTTTCAGTATTTAAGCTTCTCAGTCTCATATTAATATTTTACAATTGACCGAATATGAAGATTAAGAAAAATGAAAATATTTAACCCAAAATAGTGTAAATAGAAGGAAACTGTAATTGACAAAAATGAAAAAGTCTAAATTTAAGAATGTGTATAGGAAATACCAAAATAAAAATTTTACGGAGTATGTTTTTATATATAAAAGAAAAATGACAACGTCAATAATGTCAACATATAATGCCAAAAAATATTACTCCGTATAGAATGCTGAGATACTGTGCTATGTAAACTCTTATTTTAGCGATAAAAACATAGCACTCTTGTTCTAGGATAAAAGCTATGCTTTACTCCTCTTTTGGGGATTTCTCTACCCAAAAAAATCTAGTATGGAAAGTGGAACCTCATTTTAAGTAGATAAAAACTTATTGTGGAACATAATTATGTGATAGAAAGAGTATTACTTATAGTTATCAGAATAAGATCAATTGAAATCACTTCTAATCAATTTTGGGCTCGATTATTCGATCAGTTTCGATCACAACCACCAAGAATCGAAACTGAAAACCGAAAAAATCAAACCGGTCAAATTTTTATATTTTTTAAATTAACATTCACAACTCATTTCATCCATCTATTCATGTAATTATTCATGAGACTCACTTGTACTTTATTTATTATTTTGATTTATTTAAACTTTGTAGTATGTGTTATATTTTAAAATAATATTAATTTCTTATTTCAACATATTAGATGAATAAAAAATTTACATAAAATATTCATTTACTGTAATAAATTAGAAAGTATATGAATTTATATTTAGAAGAATCAAATTAGAGAAGATAATTACAACACTTTAATATAAATATAAATTCAATAACATTACATAATAAAATTTATAATTTTTTTCAAAAACAAACTTTAAGTTAAACAATAAGATATCATATTAATTATATTTATTTATTATAATTAATTAGTCATTATTTTAAAACAATTAATTTATAATTAAATTAAACTAGAGATTATATTAATTACTTATTATAATATAAATATTATTATAATTCAAAATATGAAACCAATGAAATGATGGGACCATTTATCATCATCATGAATCATGTTTAAAGGTTTAAACATATTACCTTCTCACTCCATCTAACACATCATTCCCAATAGTTTAAATGTTCTATGCATCAATTCAAATTGTTAAATAATGTTGGATGGTACCAACGGAGGGGAGCTAATCTCAAGCTTTCTCGTGCACATATGTATCATTTGAATCAACATGAACATTGCATGGCGTGCATCGTTTTGACATCTTCTTGGGTTAAGGTCATGGGAGAGTCTTTCCCGGGATTGAGCAACGGAGTGATGATGTAGAAAAAGGAGACCAAACTCGGGATGCATATTTGTTAGGGTGGGGCGTTGGGAGCTAGTTGGGACAAAAAAGTGTTGAGCCCAATGAATAGGAGTGCCGGCTCATTGAATAGGTCGCCTTCTTCTCTAACATAGTCCCCTATGTCATCTCCATTGTTGAGAGGGAGGACATAGATGGGGTTCCATTCTATTTCTTTTTCATATATTAGACGTTGTCATAATGTCTTTGCTCATACACTTGCGAAAAAGTTTGAGTCCAATCATGGGGAATGGATCTCGACTTCTCCAACTTTTGTTCGCCCTTTGTTGATTCTTTTCTTTGCCATCAACAAAATTTGAATTGATTACACTTTGTTCTGAATCTACTTCTCACTTCATTTCTTTAAAAGAAATTTATATGTGCGGCAAAACTTTCTTTCATATATAGACATTTTAAGTTCTAACTAACCACCACATATATCACGACAAACTAATAGTTTCATAACCCAGCAACAAAATAAGTAAAATTCCAAAAATTTGTGTAGGTCAGTGTTGGGGCTAAATACCTGAGCAAGTTTTACATGACTGGTCATGGACAACAAACTCAACAGTATACGATTGTTCAAGGATTCTCCCCTGCAGAACCTCTTTCTGAAGTTTAAGCTTGACTCGGATCTTCTTGGACTGAGGTTCAGTCCAGATGAACTCGGCATCCACCAAACGAGCTTCATTAAAATCTTTCAGCCTCCCCACACAGAATGTTAGAAGTTCTTTGGATTCAGGCTGGGCTTTAATCCAAGTTCCAGGAGGCTGTAAATAGCTTACACAATCCGGGCAGAAAGTAATGGTGACATGTTTCTGTAACCCTTCAGTTAAATCAACCTCCGAGTAGAAACAAGAGTCACACATATTGACATCATTGGGCTGCATGGGCACACCACATTTGCAGCACGGGACATCGCCATTTGTTTGTGAGTCATTGGACCTACCTGAATCTTCTCCCATCACTATGACTAGTCACAAAGAACCAGAACATTTATGAGGAAAGAAAGACAGATTTCACAGCCTACACAGTCACAATTTACTAATTTAGGTATCCTTGGTCTTACGTTGTCCACTTTTTTTTTGTTGGGATATCTGGAATAAATTGTCCACTTACCTTACCAAGGTTTATAAACAAATTATTATGAGTGACCTAAATAAAATACCACCTAAACTGCAGATTAGCATGGCTTGCCTCAACGAAAAACGAACTAATTTCAATGTTATTTTTGTTATTTTAACCTATATCTTAAATTATTTGGAGTACATTCAATATGTTTCCTTCGTCTTATATACCCCTATTTTTAAAAATTGTCACCAAATCATATCGGGAGATAATTAAAATTACAGGGACGTAGAATAGAATACTATAACCACGAAAATAATTGCACATAGCAGTTAGTGAAGCAAGGCATCTGAAACTGAAAAAAATCAATTCTACAGTTCTATTTAAGACAGAATGTCTAGGTTAGATTTAAATATTCATCAACGATAAAAAATCATCTAAAATTGTGGAATTCATACCTTATATCTAAATATTCATCAACAATAATCGAAACATAACTTTAAGAAAAATCTGTTTGAGAGTATTTGCTAAAGTTGGAAGTTAGAGCAGCGAAGAACGGAGAATCGTCGAACAAAGAGGCATGAGCGTAGAGAAGTACCTGGGAATGGGAATGGAGATGGAGGGACGGTGAATCGGCGTAGAGGAGTTATAGGTTTATAGGGTCGGCTAGGAACTAGTTGCAGTTTGGGTCGAGTCCTTTTGTACGGTTTTTAGTTGGACTCAATGCGTGAACCGGCCCAATAATATTGAGGAATGCAACTTCTTTTTTCCAACATTCCAGCTTCTCCATCCCCTATTAATATTTCACAATTGACCACTACAAATATTAAGAAAAGTAAAACTAGATAATTAAAGAAAAAAAATTAAAGTATGAGTAAAATATTAAAAAATATTAAAATAAGAGTTCCAACTTTTATTCAAAAAATAAGAGTTAAAATTCATTTACATTACGAATAAAGATCATATACATTTTCAAAGAGTATAGTAAAATGCACATGTTCAATGTCACTTTACCACAGTATAAACTCTTATTTAGGATAATTTTTTATAATTAAAAGTATTTTAATGAGAAAGAACTGATATAAGTCATAAACAATGAAGAAGAAGACTAAGGGGGTGTATTCAATTAGGATTTTATTGGATTTTTTTAGATTTCAAAAAGTTAGTAGATTTGTAAAATTTATAGAATCCATGTAGAGTTTGGTTGATTTTTTGTAGAGTCCATGTAGAGTTTGAAAAATTTGTAAAATCTTTGTAGAGTTTGAAAAATATGGTGATTCTAGAGGAATGTTGCTCCACGTCAAGAGGAGAAGCAATTTCCTGGCATCTAAACACCAGAATCCGACACCATCGTTCTACGCTTCACCGCCTATGGAAATTGACGGTGAAGGCAAGCTCGGAATCAGGAGGAGGAGGCATGAAGCTGACGGACAGATGAAGAGTACTCAAAAAACATATCTATCAATTAATCGCTCAAAGAGATGAAATTGAACAAATCAATAGGTAGATTTGTGTGGAAGGTGGGGGCGATCAAGATTAAACAAACAATTTGGAGTTTAATTGGTGAAAATGAGGAAATCGGTGTTTGGCAATGGCGATGCAACATGTTCAAGAGAATCGCATTTTGTCGCCAGAGAGAGTCTCGGCCAAGCGTCCTAGGGTTGATTTGTTCAGATCTAGAGGAGATGAAGCGCCCTCTTTCCGATATATTCGACAAAGATGAGGTCCACTTTCTGCAGATTCAGTAGAAGGTGAGAGCANAAACAATTTGGAGTTTAATTGGTGAAAATGAGGAAATCGGTGTTTGGCAATGGCGATGCAACATGTTCAAGAGAATCGCATTTTGTCGCCAGAGAGAGTCTCGGCCAAGCGTCCTAGGGTTGATTTGTTCAGATCTAGAGGAGATGAAGCGCCCTCTTTCCGATATATTCGACAAAGATGAGGTCCACTTTCTGCAGATTCAGTAGAAGGTGAGAGCAAGGGTCGTCATGGCTTTGCGAAGAAGAAGAAGAAGGTTCTAAACAAGGGTCTGAAGAAGGCGACGAAGGAAGAAGAAAGTGATGTAGGAGGAGAAGTTGAAGAACGAGGAACGCTGAAGAGGAGAATGGGACTCTGCAAAATCCCTGGCTTTTGGTTGGATTTGCAAACAAAATTTTTATTTATATTCAAAGCTAAAAATCCATCACAATCCATATTTTATAAAAATCCTTAAGATTTTATCAACTTGTTAATACCATTAGATTTAGAAAGACCTTACAAATTCTCAATTGAATACCTTCAAATTTTAAATGATTTTTCAAAATCTAAATTGAATACCTCTAGATTTTAAATGATTTTTTAAACTCTCAATTGAATACCCACTGACTTTTAAAATATAAAAAAATTCATCAGAATCTTGATTAAATACACCCCCCTAAATTTAGGAGTACACATACAGAAATTACTAAAATAGGAGTTCCATGTGTTTTATTTCTAAAATAGAACTTACAATGCTAATAATGTCAACGTTTAATACCAAAATATATTATGAAATGCCAATATAATGTGCTACATTTTCACAGTGTAATTTTTTATTTTGGTGATAAAAACATAGCACTCATAGTTTGAGATAAAAATCATGACTTACTCCTCTTCTGATGATTTCTCTACAAAATTGAATTCTAGCATGGAATGTGGAACCTCATTTTGGGACGGATAAAAAGTGAATTTTTTAATATTATTATGAGACAGAAAAAAATTTTATTGTGTGATTTATTTTAGAGCAAAATTTCATAAAAGATCATCAGTTATGGGGATTACATTGGGAAAAAACCTTACTTGAAATGATCATTTGGAGAATTTACTCAAAATATTGTGTCATATTTGGTAAACATGACTATTTGTGAAATACTTTTCAAAAATTGAGGACTATTTATAAAATATCTTATGCTGGGAAACTAAATATGAAAAGCTACATATAATTGGGGACCATTTATGAAATTTACTCTATTTTTCCTTATGGGTATTTATTTTAGAGTAAATTCCATAAAAGATCTCCAATTATAAGTCGTTTTACATATTTAGTCCCTATATATCAAATATCAATATTTTAGTCCTCAATTATTATATTGTTTTCTATCAATACTCCTCTATTAACATTTCCGTTAAGAACATGGATAAAGATGTATATTCACACTCTTTTCTCTCTTCAATTAAACTTTCTCACTCTTCTCGTACTCAATCTCAAAATTGTTGCTGTGTTTGAAATTCTAAACCTAAAACTGAAACGACCACTCCACTCTCAAATGTTCATCTTCTTGGTGGAACTCAAAATCGAAACCAATAACCTTCATGGATGAATTTATCAGTTAGTCTTAAGAAATTACGAAGAAAACAAACCTTAAAACTCATCCATGAAGGTTACTGACTTACCGGTATCAATTTTAGATTCCAGCAAGAAGACGAACAATTGAGAGAGGATGGATGATTTCGATTTTAGGTTCAAAGCTTCAAACTCAGCGACGGGTTTAAGAAAGAAGTGCGAGAGAAAAGAGAAAATTTAATTAATGAGAGAGGAGCGTGAATTTACAAATTCTTTTACACTTCAAAGGAAATGTTAACAATGGACCACTCTTGAAAAACAGTATTATGTAAGGACTGAATATGTAAAACGAAGTATAACTGAGGACCTTTTATGAAATTTACTCTTTATTTTACTTTTAAGCATGTACTTGATTTCTATTCACATGATAAAGAATTTGGTTGTACAATGTGTACTCCCACTATTCACTTCATTTTATGAGATGCATAAAAATATGAAACAAAAATATCTTTTTGGGACATCGAGAGTATCAATTATTAACCTTGATGATTCCTTTTTCGCATATTTGTGAATTTATACATTTATATTAGAAGGCGTATTTTAGGTTTTGGAAACGTTTAATACACATACATATCCGTATGCATATTCCGAATGTTTAAAGCCTATAGTAAGCCGTATTTTATAAATATCTAACGTATTGTACACGTACGTACACATTACCATATTATACCTTTGCCGTATTTTACTAACTAGGACACACATCATAGACCAGCCCAGTATTCTCACCAAATCTACACAACTTCTCAAGGCTCAAATATTAGCTTTACATTTCTTTATTATTGTTGGACACTGAGCATAAACTAAAAGTCTTATTTTAGGCAGCTTTAGGAGAGTGCTACTGCTCCATATTTAAAGTTACCATGATTCGCCTTGTTTTAGAATTGCTTATTTGATTCATTCGTGAAGCCTGCACGTCGAGGAGAAGAATAAGCTTTGAGGGCAGATCCTGTCATGTCCAACGTCTGTTTTGCAAGAGAGGCGCTCTTCGTCAATGCCAGCCACGCGGCATAGAAGAATCCTATCCAACCTGCATCAAAAATTTAAGTTTTCAATCACTGAACAGGCCAGTGCTAGGGAATCCCCGTACTTGTGACACCACGTTTGACACCAAAGGGTAACATAGACACTCACAGACACTTCTGCATAGGCAGTGATTGTCTGCGACTCTGTGTTTGCCTTTCTTGTCAAAAATGGTGTGACAAGTGGGGATCCCCAAGTGTTTTCCAACACAATATAGGAGAAAAATGAGGATGAAGAATAAAGAATCCAAACCATCGACCTGTAGCTATCAAGGAAGCAACTATTGTCAAAACCGTTGTAGTTGAAATGGCAAAGACAGCTACTGACAATGCCCCAACATAAATGCCTGTTAAACAGGCAAAGAAAATCGCCAAGAACCCCCCTGCGATGGCTAAAGACATGAGCAGAGAGAGAACAATGGCATTGATGGTTGTCAGGACAAAGATAAACATAAAAATAAGCAATCCTGTCAGGGCAAGAAGCGTAATAGTCCCAACCTGCAAAACCAGGAAGACAATGTAGATAACGGACTGCATAGTGTTTGGATTTGGATAGAGAAAGAAACAAGAGACGATACACTAAGTGCGTACTGGATAACAAACTGTGTAGTGATGAAAAGCAATAAGGTAAATTTATCAAAACAAAATGCAAGAGTTTCAGAAAAATCCTACAAAAGTCAAAAGGAATACTCTTGCAAGATTAGTATTTTTCCCCGACCCAATGAAAAATTCTTCTTTTCTAAATGTTGGAATCCTTCCTCTTCAGGGGGTAGTTTGCGCAATAAAATTTTGGACACCATTAATCCAACCTTTTAGGGTATTACATGATATTACTATATTAGTCCACCTTTCAAAAAGCATGTCATTGTGCCAACCTTCACACATTTTTTTAATACCAAAACTAAGTTAGAACTCAGTTTTGAATCATATATTTCTTATATGGAAATAAAAATGAGAAACACTTCAACACGTATCACCTACTTATGATCTGGACACCGTCTACTTCCTCCGATTAAGAATCATTTGGGTCTGGAAATTGGGAAACAATTGATATCTCATGCGAGGCTAGAACGAATGTCACGAGTCAAGCTCAACACAAAGGTTGGACTGGTGACACAGGTTCCTCTCAAACAATATCTCCACCATTTCACATTTTCTAGGCTAAAATCATTCTCAATCTAGGTGATATTAGTGGTGTTTTTTTTTCATATCAGAAATATAGGGTGACATCAATTTAAATTGAT